CTTTAATAGAGGATCTAACATCTTGTTTAGTGAAGTTTTATCACAGATCTGCATCTATGTTGATCTAGAATGCTTTCAGAAAAGGGTAACCAAAATGATCAAAGGTTTGGAAACAAAGCCCTATAAGGAACAGCTTAGGGAACTGGGTATGTTTTGCTTGGAGAAGAGAAGACTGAGAGGCGGAATGATAGCCTAGTCATGTTTAAATATTTGAAAGGATGTCACGGTGAGGAGGGACCAGGCTTGTTTTCTGGTGTTGTAGAGACTGGGACACAGAGCAATGGATTCAAATTGCAGGAAAAAAATCCTGTAGCTAAATGTTAGGAAGAACTTCCTGATAGTTAAAGCTGTTTGGCAGTGGAAAATGCTACCTTGGAGCATGGTGGAGTCTTCTTCTCTGAGGCTTTTAAGTCGAAGCTGGGTGACTATATGTTGGGGTGCTTTGATAGTGTTGTCTGACCCCTGTGGTCTCTCCCAACTCTATGGTTCTATGGTTCCATGATTCTATGAATTTACCCCTACTCATTCCCACTGATATGTGTAATAGAATGCTTTAGAAGTATGGACTCTCCATATTTGGAGATGTTTAAACAGATGCTGGAGTGCTTTAATTATGTATTCCTGCATGGCAAGGGGTTGGACTAGATGTCCCTTGTGGTCCCTTCTGTCTCTAAAATCCTATGATTCTATGTTTGTCTGAATTGTAAAAGATGAATGAAGAATAGTTCTGGTTAAAGGAGAAAGATCCATTGCAATACTGAAATGGCTACAGATTCACCTGATTATTCAAGAGTGGACAATTTTCAATCAGTAATATTTGACTACTCCTCAGAATACACAAAACTATTATTGTATTATCTGCATTATTGAAATTTGCCTAGAACTTGAAACAGTATTCCAAATGAGGCATAACCAAAGCAGAATAGAGAGGTATAATTCCCCCCATCTAGATCAGGCATGGGCAAACTTCAGCCCTCCAGGTGTTTTGGACTTCAACTCCCACAATTACTAACAGCCTACTGGATGTTAGGAATTGTGTGAGTTGAAGTCCAAAAACACCTGGAGAGCCGAAGTTTGCCCATGCCTGATCGAGATACTATACACTGATCGATGCAGTTTAGGATTACACTGGCTTTTAAAGTTGCTGATTGACGTTGCATTGTAAAGTTCCAATTTATTGCCAGGTATTATCTCTAGGCAAACCACTGTGATGGCACTATTAGCAGAAAACTGATAAAAAAAACATTACCAGACTTTCATTTGCCCCATTTGTGAGGGCTTAATCTGAGTTAGATTACAACTAGTTTTCAGTATTAAAACACAGCTCTGAAACATGTGAAACCATAATAATTGCATGCATGAACCTCACTTTTCCCATTCAGTTTGTGCTTTCGGCAGTAGAGAATATCACTGTAGTGGTTTTGTGCACAATCTCCTTCTGAGAAAGTAAGAATCTACTAGGTGATGGTACATCCATTCATATCTGATTCTGCCATGATGTTGTCTCTGTTTCTATAATGACTACCATGCTATGGTCTTTTGTTTCTGATTAATCTCACAGGCAGTATAGTGAAAAGGATAGAGAGGGAGGGGTAGGTTACAAAGTAGGGCTGCATGATGCTATCAAGCTTGTGAAACCTGAACCGGTGATGCCTCTTCCTGGCACAATTTAATGAACGATAATGAGAGCAACACCGGTGCACGTTCTGCTTGACTGCTGGCACTCTCTCAGCTTCACCGCTGAATCTCTTTAAAAGGCCGGGGAAAGGACATTTTCTAATGAAAAGCATCTCTTGAAATGAAAAGGGTAAGCCGGCTGCATAATGACTGCAGGGGGATAACATGCTTAATCCTCGGTAGCAAGAGAGAAGATCGCATTTAATCCACACAGTGCCAGGAGGAGAGCACAGGAGAGAAAGAAGAGGGCAAGCGAAGGAGCCGTGAAAACACAAAGAAGCGGTGTCTTGTAAAAAGGGATTACGGCGCCCTTGGGGGCTTCCACCACATTGCACCATGGCTTGGATGAAAGCTGGGATTCCCACATGTGCATTTTCTGGCCAAGGGGCCTATATAACTCTTCTTCATATTAGTGCTGCACTCTTTGCAATTACATTTAGAATTTTACTAGCTCATTACCTAAGCACCAAGTATTTGGCATTCCTTGTTAGCAGGACATTTTGGCTTTAGAGGTTTTGTGTAGCTCCATAACAATTTGATGTATAAGTAGCATGATGGTTCATCCACACCATGAGTTAGTTACAAAGCACGTTCTTGCCTAATTCCTCCTGCCTTTCATTAAAGGCATATTTCATTTATAAATGTATACTTCACTCTCCAGCTTATGCTCTCAGAGCAATTCACAAATCTCTGTAAAATCAAAGCAAAACTATCTAACTGCAGTCATCAATATATTTAAAATGCAGTTGAAAAGTAACAAGAAGAAAAACAACCATGAAATGCAGCAGAAATAATTCAAGTTATCAGATTCAAAATATGTAGTGTAAGTATCAGAATATATGGTGAAAAACACTACTTATAGCTGGCAGAGAGTAATGCTATGCCAATGCAGATCCACTGGGATACCTTCAGATCCTGCAGAAGGCAGGATCCCTCTCAGGAATTGTGCCTCCCACACTCCCCTGCCTATGTAGTTCCATTCATCACACTGTAAGGCAGTGGTGGGATGAGAGATGGTTTTGCTGACCTCCAGAGTGGGGAGGCCAGGCATGATTTGTCCTGGCAATTAGTTGGATACAGTGTGAAGGGGTGCATCTACTCTGCTCTTTAAAAGATAGCTCTGCCCCAGTCTTCCACTTCTGGTTTTTTAAACCTACTCTTCCACCTCCTTTTATAGTGTAATTTAATAGGTCATTTTGGGGCTGGGTAGGAATCCCCCTCTCCATTTATGGGTTTTCTCCATCTACCCTATAGTGGCTAAGAGTGGTGTCCTTTAAATAGGTTTTCCTAGAAAGCTTGGGGGGGGGGGATGTAATTTACTGATATATTTTGTGTAGGATAGCAAATAAGAACTGCTCCTGTGTATCACGAAATATAGGGGTTGGAAAGAATCTCCTGTTCTTGGGGCTGGTTTCTTAGGCCCCTTTCACACAGCTGAATAAAATCCCACATTTTCTGCTTTGAACTAGACTATATGGCAGTGTGGACTCAAATAATCCAGTTCAAAGCAGACATTGTGGGATTTTCTGCCTTGATATTCTGGGCTGTGTGAAAGGGCCTTATGTCTTTGTCCTCAGCAGAGGCCAAACAGCTTGGAGGCTTACACCTTCTTGCTAACCTTCCAGTGATTAGCTGGACCTGGGAGTAACTATGATTCGCAGGGTTTTTTCTCAGGGTCAGTGGTGTTTTACCCAGGGGAGGATGGGGGATTGAATTTAGGGTGACCAACCATTCCAGCTGCTCACATATCAAATCTGCTCCTACCCAGTTGTTGTGTATATTACCAAGAAGCAAAACTTTTTGAATCTTTTAGTAAGTTGATGACTTCTTCTGAAATATATCCATAGAATGTTTTGTTTCTTTCAGTAGTCTCCACTTTTCTTAGTATTTTCATTTTACAAGTATATAGATCATTTTTTAACATGCTGAATACAGCAGGTGAGGTGATCACACCTTTTTTGTTTTGCTGTCCACAGATGCTCAGTAAAGGATTCTGGTGGCAGCTTCTGTGTACCTTGCCTGTTGTCACACAGGATCACACTGTAGGGTTGACTGAATATGTGTTCCATTCTTTGGGAGCTCAAGGTTTGTTTACTGTATTGTTTATATCAGGGTGTTTCTGCAACTGAAAATCTGTGTTTCTCCAGCTTTCCATCGCAATAATGCTTCTAAAAATGTTCTAGTGTGACAGAGAATGAAGAGGAAAAGGGTATAAGTAAAGTAAAAGTTTCCCTTGACATTAAATCTAGTCGTGTCCAACTCTGGGGGGTAGTGTTCATCTCCATTTCTAAGCCGAAGAGCCAGCAATGTCAGTAGAACCTCCTAGGTCATGTAGCCAGCATGGATGCATGGAGTGCTGTTACCTTCCTGCTGAAGGAGTACCTATTGATACACTCACATTTGCATGTTTTCAAACTGTTAGGTTGGCAGAAGCTGTGGTTAACAGCAGGAGCTCACCCTGCTCCCCAGATTTGAACCTGTGACCTTTTGGTTCAGCAGCTCAGCAGTTTAACCCATTGTGCCATCAGAGACATATATGGGTGTAAATAGGGTCTGTGAAAGAGAACCTGACTGTCAGAGACTTTGTTAACTAAGACCTGCCTGCACTTCAGAGAAAAATGTTTTGCTTCTCTAAATGGAGATACAAAAAATTGATTTTATTTACTTTTGCATACAAGTATGTGCTCTATCACTGAGCTACAGTCTTTTTTTCTGGGTCTGGAAACAGCATTTGGGAAGCTAGATAATCTCTTCTCGTGTTAAATGAATAACCATCACAGTTTGGAGAGGGTCACCCTCCTCTAAGAAGGGATGGGAGAAGACAACATAGAATCAAACTATTTCAGATGCTAAAAAGTCTCCATGCCCGTAACAGACGTACATATTTGGAAGCAATTATCATGAGGACTGCAATGTGCAGAAAGGAAGGCTTATTCTTTCCAGCATCACCATGTTTGTGATGAAAATTTCCTTCCCTGCATTGCCAAAGGCTTGAAGATAAGAGGTTCCAATTGATGCCAGTAATTTTTGAAGGACACAGAAAGAGAATAAGTGGAACGAAAAAACCATGTTAAATTTCTGAAGGTGTTCAGGTCTGTTTGCTTGACTCTGTAAGGGAACACTTTCAATGATTTTAATTTGTATTTTATGGATGAGTACTTCAATACCATATGTCACTTTTATGTACTGCCGATTCCCTGGGGTATGCAGGACTGTTATAGCTTAACATTTATCAACAAGAAGAAAATAAGGAAAATGGAGGGAAATGGAGGCCGATTGAGACTGAGTGCCAATTGACACTGAGTGCCAATTTAACATCCTTCAAAATGTGAGTCTTTACCAAAATACTATTGGGACTTTTGATGGTGGGACCACAACTTTGCCCTTTTAATTTGTAGATATGCAGCACATTCCAAGAAGCTCAGGAGTGCTTCTCTGTCTCTTCCACTCTTAGGCAGTGTGGGGGTATGCCCATGTGTATTATGATGACCCTTGTGCATATGGAGAAGAAGAATCAGGCTTCCTCCCTGGGTGCATGAAAATGAATGGCCAGGTATCAAGGTATACTCCCATAGTTGACTTATCAGAGATTAAACTGCTTGCAATCCAAGGGGGATTGTGCAAGGATGTACAGGATACCTGTTTATGCAATCCCATTGTGTCTGTGTATGTCGCCAACTGGAATCTAACCTTTCTAACTGGAGTTAGCTACTGGAAGTGCAGCCTGGAATCTGTTCAATGTTGCTGTGAATCCTTTTGTATTATATGTAAACCAGGATACCTCTATTTAGCCTGTACTAGTATATTCATAAATAAAAAAAAATCTGCCAGGCTCCTCCCATCCAGTGGAAGCAAAACAAGCTTTGGAAATTCTCGGTGTTGTGGAATGCATAACAGCATTTGAAATATTTGACAGATGTAATCTTAAACAGATTACAGATTTTGTCCTAGGATTTGTGTAGGGAATACAAAGAACTCCCACACTGAGAATGGCTTAATTGTCCATTAGTAGTGGATACTCACTCATTTCTGAGGTCACAAGTTCTAGTATGTTTATTTTTTAAAATATAAGAAAACAGTGTTTGTTTTATTAAAGTTTCTTCATCTTTTCATTTTCAGGGCTTCCATCAGGCACTAATCTCTGACATTATGAAAAGATATCTGCAGCTATAACAAAAATCCTGTGTTGGTAATGGAAAGCAGCCATTTGTTTCCCAAGAAAATTAAAATGATTTGGGGGAAACCCTATACTTCCATTTGAACAGTCAAGAAAGGTATCTTCAGTCATTATTCAAGATATGTCTCAGCTGTATTTTTAGTGCATAATAATCTTTTCTATGAATTTCTGAGATAGAATCAAAAAAAGACTCTGAAAGCTGTCAAAGATATGTCACTGACTTAAAATGTCACTAGATGGCACTATGAGGTATTTTTTTGGCACAACAAATGAAATGAAGTTGGGGTGCTCAGTTTGGGGAAAGGGGTAAGCTGGCAAGAAAGGTAAACTGAAAACCTTAAAAAAAAACAAACAAAACCTCTGATGTGATTTTTCATTGAACTAAACATGCAACTTATAATGCTGATTCTTTTGACTATGGTCTGCCCTGGCCACACACTAGGAAACTCAGATACTGAGCTCACCAGCAAAAGCATTCTGAAGAGGAGTTCTTAGTATCCTCAAATAATGCCATGCCCATACTCATGGTGGAGCTCCCAGTGGTGCAATGGGTGAAAGCTTTGTGCAGACAGGACTGCTGAGAGACTGGTCAGCGGTTCAAATCCAGGGAGAGCTGATTGAGTTCCCTCTGTCAGCTCCAGCTCCCCATGTGGGGACATGAGAGAAGCCACCCACAAGGATGGTAAAACATCAAACATCCAGGTGTCCCTTGGGCAACGTCCATGCAGATGGCCAATTCTTTCTCACCAGAGGTGACTTGCAGTTTCTCAAGTTGCTCCTGATATGGAAAAAAACCCCATGGCTTTATCCAGAGAGTGTGTGTTTGAACCTCCAAAGCTTAAGAATAGTAAAAAAAAAAACCAAAAAAACCCCCCAAACCACTTGTTTTTGTACATCCTGGACCATTAGGGGTTCTGTTTTAGGAGTGTCAGCCTCTAGATAGAAGTCACATGATCCCAGAGGAAAATAGGACACCAGAAGACATCATCACAATTCTGACTGAAAGTATGACCTTGACCCAAAGAAATCAGGTGATGTGCCAAAGCTTGCTTAGTCATGGATATAAATGTCTGTTCCTAGATACTTTACTGCATTCATCTGGTGAAATAGATTTAGTCTATGAAAGCTTGCCCTACCAACTTATTTATCTCGGTTCTTAAAGATATTACAATATTCTTGTGCAACCTTATGGTGTGGATTTTCTCTCTTACCTGCAGGATTGCTAGCCATGGTCCTGAACCATATGTTGGAGTTTCTGGGCCAGTAATTGCTATACTGCCAGTTTCCTGAATTTTCTCCTTATCTATCTATCTATCTATCTATCTATCTATCTATCTATCTATCTATCTGTATGCCCCTTTGTGTTGCCTGTCAATCCCATGAATTTTTCATTGAGATTTCTTAGGTAAGGAATACTCAAAGGTGGTTTGCCACTGCTTTGCTTTGTGTCTTTGCTACACTGTTGTCTTGCTGGCATGATGAAATCCTTAATAGAACAGGGTAGGTTTTGTGTGCTTTTACATATGGTTTTAACCTGAATTGTCTTTAATATTGATGATGTTTAATACTGTTTTAATATTTGTATATTTGTATATGTTAAGTTGTATTGTAATACTTTTAACTGTGAGCCACTTTGAGTCTCTGTATGGAGAGAAAAAGTAAGATATAAATCTATATAAATAAAAATCTAATGTTCGTTTGTGGGATTTAACATAACTCAAAAACCACTGGACAAATTGACACCAAATTTGGACACAATATCAGGCCAATGGTTGACCATCACTCATAAGAACACTGAAAAACACAGCAGAAGAGACTTAAAAAGCAAAAACAAACAAACATTACAACACATGCACAAACACACAGACACATATATATGTAAACACACATATATACACATATACACAAAAATATACACATACATATGCACACACAAAACACATATACACAGACTGGGCCACAGCAACGCATGGCAGGGGATGGCTAGTAAACATAATAAATAAATATAAATAATGTTTTACTTTAAACTGTTTATGAATTTAGCTGTAAAAACCTACATGTCTTTGCATTTGAAAATTGAAAAATGAGTCAAAGACATCAGTCATGCTGTGCACACAAGGGCTGGCCCTTAGAAACACACCATACTAGCCTTGAAACAGCTTTAGAGGCTGCTGATTCATTTCCAGGCCACAACTGAAAATATTTGCGCTATATCTTAAAGCCCCTGGTGGCTTGGAAACTGTATTTCTGAAGGACTGTCTTCTCCCTTGTGAATGTTCCTGCCTGATTCTTATCTTCATCATTTTAAAAGCTTTATTTGAAGCTGCTCACCTTCTGAAATTAAGTGGGTGGTATCTGAAGAAAGCACCTTTTCACTTGTGATCTCTACCTGTGGAATATGGGTTGACAGACCCACTAATCCTAAGCCTGTCACAGACAGACAAAACACCTATTTCATCAGTACTTCTAGCATCTAATCTAGTTCATCATTTTTTCAAAAAAATCTGGAATGTTTTTTTCCCAATAGCTTTTTATTGATCTGTATTCTCTCTCTCTTTTTTACAGCCCTGCTGTGTATTTTATTTGTTTGTTGTTTGTATAAGGTGAGAGATCCTGTGCAAACAGATTTTGTGCAGTGGAACATACCCTTGGCTTTCTCCTTCTGAAGTCTTACTCCCTGAAATCAGCTATACAACAGATAACGGGGGGCTGCAGAAAAAGAGTAAATTGCTTCCTCCTTTTCCACTGACAGAAGTTATTTTATTGCCGGGAGGCATTAACTAGATGCAACCATCCTTTAAGAACAACAACAACAAACAACCTTTATTTACTTGTCAATCACCCAAGGACTTGTCAGTTGAAGCATGCCATATAAATCATCCATGAACATTAAAACAAACATAAATAAATAGTTTTATTTTTTTAAAGAGATTTTAGGCCATGAACATATGTGCTGCACCAAAATCCTACATATTCAAAATACACAGGAGAGCCAACATTAATTTACATGACACTTCCCATCTGCAGTTTTTACAAGCAACTCCTTTGTATGTTGCCTTCTAAGCAAAAAATCCAAATAAGAAAAAAACAAAATAAAATCCCAAACAGGATATAAATATTTTGATGAGATTCATACAGAATTGTATAAATTAATCTATAAGTAGTGCAGTCCTAACTCAAAGATCCACCAGACACAGTGGATTAGGATTTGTTAAATGCAGTCTCAGTGGATATCAAAATCCATGGATTTTCAGCTTGCATCATATACAAAGGCATGGTAAAATGGTGTCCCATATATATATGTATGTATATATTTACTACATTTATATATAACTTTTCTCCCCCTAAGGGAACTCAAAGCGGTTTCCAACATTATAAAGTCAAAATTCAATGCCATACATACATGTAAAAACCAAAAGACAATAGCAAGACAATAATATATAACTATAAATTAACTTAACCAAATTAAAACATGAACATAAAATAGCATTTAGACGTAAAGCATAAAAAACTAAACATCGATAATATAATAAAATTTATATTAAAACCCACCAATAAACAACATGATTTAAAAAAAGGTAAAGGTACAGATTTTCCCCTGACATTAAGTCCAGTCGTATGTGACTCTGGGGGTTGGTGCTCATCTCCATTTCTAAGCCAAAGAGCCAGCATTGTCCATAGACACCTCCAAGGTCACGTGGCCAGTATAAGTGCATGGAGCGCCATTACCTTCCTGCTGGAGCAGTATCTATTGATCTCACATTTGCATGTTTTCAAACAGGAGCTGGGGCTAACAGTGGGAGCTCACATCGTTCCCTGAATTTGAACCTGCGACCTTTCAATCAGCAAGTTCAGCAACTCAGTGGTTTAACCCACTGCACCACCGGGGACTTCATCACAATTTAAAAACAGTTATTAAAATCATGTCATTAAAATCAAGTCTGTAGTCATTCCATTGATCCATTCACTATTCCTTATACACAAAAAGCAAAATCAAGGATTACATTTTGGAACTATTTTTTGACTACTTCAAGCTGTGGATGGTTGAATCTGTGGATAGAGAATTTGCAGATATGTAGGATTGGCTGCATAATCAGGTATATCTCTGATACTCCTTTCACACACTTTTCATTGGATACAATGTGGCCAGGGAGAAGGAACATAGGGGGAAAATGAGAGGAGAAATATCAGGAACTTGGCCCACAAGTTGTATAAAAAATAGCAATAGTTTTTAAAAAAATCAGCAAACCATACCTTCAATGCATGTTAATGGAAACTTAACTATTGCAATGTGGTGGGAAGAAAGGTGCCCATTATATCCCTCCTCCCCCTCACCATTTTGGTAGGGTTGGGAGAAACCTCTCTTATAGGCATTTTTTTAAATGGTGCAAACAACAACAACACATTGAACACAACAAATCCTTCATAAAACATGATGGCTGGAAATTCTGGAAGTTGTAGCCTCAGCAGTAAAATTTCCAAGCTTTATCTGTGCCCTCAAGGGGACCTTTGGCGTGTATTTCATAAATACCAGCTTTTCTTTTGTGTTATATGGCAAGCTGCATATTTTCAAAAACAGAAGGCAACATGTTACTTCACTGCATGGCTTAAGCAGTTTCTTTTGCACCTTGGTCTTAAGTCCTTTATACTTCCCTTGTTTTGAGTTTTAAAAACTCCATCTGAGGATCTTGTAGTATTGTCAAGATGCACCACCATCTGCTCTAGGGTTTGCATTTAAAGGGTGTGGATGTTTCTGCAGCTAGTGAAATTGTAGACATCTGGGAAATGGGCTGAACTTGTGCATTTTGTGGAATGACACATACACATATATTAGCAACAGATGGCTGAAAATATTTCTTTTGAGACTTGGAATACTTTGTAGCAGAACTGCAGAACAGAACCACCTCAGCTTTCACTGAAAAAAAATTAATTTAATGACAGGCTAGAGGGGACATCAGCTGGCCAGAGAATTAATATGTAATCTTTGTCTTGTATGTGCAGCAGACAATGTATGGGGCAGTCAATAACACACTCAATTCCAGTGCTCACCGCTGGCCTTCTCCTCCAGTAATTAGATTGGGAAATGATGAACTGAGGGTTTGTTGGCATTTGCATGCTGGCTGGTGAGTACTAATCAGCAGGGGAAAACAGTGTGCTTCTTAATTGGAAAGCACAATCAGCTGCAGCGGAGGAGGGAGCAAGTTCCTCCCTCTGCATGGCAATTGGATATTATCCATGGCTGGAGCTGCACTTTGCTCTCTCATTGTGCCATACTCTCCAAAGCATGTATTCTCACATCTTTACACTAATTCATCTCCCCTGTCATTTTGTTTGCAGATGCTTCCTAGCTCTGGCAAACAGCCTGCTCTTTTTCTTTTGGGGGGAGTGGGTGGGGGTGGCGGCAAGCTTTGCAAACCATTCTCCCCATCTCTATCCCTTTGCACATAACCTCCGCTCCATTTTCAAATTTGCTTAATCACTTCCTATAGTTGCAGAATTTTCCTTTTACCATCCCTTTCAATGAAAACAGAAGAAATTCCACTTTGGCATAGTAGTGACTGATTCTGGAGAGGAGGAAGAATTATGTCTCTCTGTCTCTCTCTCTCTCTCACACACACACACAGGCCTTGGGCTTAGCTATGACTGCCAGCCTCTTTGGTTAGAAATATGGTCAGAATTCTAAAATAAAGCAGATGGCAGGGTGGGGGCATTTAAAAGTAAGCGAATTCATGTCCTACTTGTGATGACTGTGCCCAAATTCTCTCACCTATCCCACCAGTCCCATCATTTGTGATAATACATTCCCAAGTCCACTCGGCTAAGGGAGGTGTAGGTGAAGGGGCATTTTGATGGGCCTCCAGGCTTTGAGGGCATTTATCACATGGGTTAGCTGCTAAGTGCTGATCCTGGCACCTGCACAGGACAGAGTCATATGTATTTAAGCTAGGCCACCCCTTCACAAGCCTTTTTTCAGCCTTCATCTTATGACCTACTTGTCCCACTCAGTGCAGTATAAGCTTTGCTGCTTATCTCAGGGCTGGGTAGTTGTTTTTTCCCATTCACTTATTGTTGTTGTTTATCTATCCCATGCTGTATCTGTGGGACTCAGGTGCTTGGCTCAGGATGCTGTCTGTAAATAGGTTATCAATAACAGGTATTGAGAGGAGAATGTAAGAGTCATTGTACATCTTGTCACCTTTTTGATGAAACATGGGGCCCTGGAGTGGCTTCTTTAGGTCCTACAAACTGGGTGGTTGTGAAGGAGCCTGTTCTTATTTTTAAACTGAGGGTGGGGTGTTTACTCCCTCTTAGGACTTCATATCTTGAGATAAGTAAAGTGTTTGGTATTGTTGCTTTTCACTTAGGCTTCACAATGCCCCATTTGGAAATTAAATGGATGATTTTCCTATTCTCATCGCACCTTCTCCTGTTTGGTAGAGATTTGTTTCCTCCCATTATCCCTCTAAGATTTTGATTATTTATCTTTGTAAAAAAATTCTCCCAGATTGTAGGAAGTGGTTTAGAATTAAGCCCTAATCTTTTCCCAAGTCTCTGTATTGGCGATCATAGAAGTGGTTTTAAATTAACCCTGATCTTTCTCTATTGGTAATCATAGGAAGTGTTTGTTAAATTAACCCCGATCTTTCCCCAAGTCTTTCTATTGACAAGGATAGAAAGTGGTTTAAAATTGGAGAAATTGGCATTTTGGCTCCTCCCACACACAGCATCATCATTTTGTTTGCAAGTAGGCAACAAGGATTAACATCACATGGGGAAATAGGCCATTTTGCCAATTTCTACATGGAAAATTTAAAAATCAGTCAGTTGCCAACCGGTTTGGGAATCATTATTTTATTTTATTTCCTATATTTATGCCCCGCCCTTTTCACCCTTGAATCATTGGGGAAACCAACACTATAGAAATGGCAAAATACCTCAACCTCATGGTTGAAGCTGAGAAACTGGTCTTCCGGTTCCTCTGGGAAACAGCCAATTTCCCTTTGGCAAGGGCAGTGGCCTATAGGAAGATGGCTCAAGGAGGCCTTGATTTACCTGCTTTATGGCTGAAGTTTTTGGCTGCTTTTCCAGAATTTTGGAATATATGGCCAGGGGATTAACCAACAGGATGGCAAGGAGGGGTGGCTTGCTTTTTTTTTTTTTTTGCAAAACACTGGATCAATGAAAGCTGGGCTCAGAAATGGTGGAGGGAGGAGCCCTTCCGAGTGATGATCACCATGAAGCACACTGGACCCAATTTCCTAATAGAGGTCTAAGGACAGATCTAACAAAATAATGTACTGACAGAGTGGTTCCGAGCTGAGAGAGGGGTTATTAAGAACCTGAAATTGTTTGCCTATTGGGAGATAGTGGATGGGGTTTTCTTTCAGCCACAGTTGGAAAAAAATGCCCCAAAGAAACATCTGTCAAGTTATTTAAAAACCCCAGAAAAAATAGAATATTTCATGGACCGGAGGATCCCCTTTGGTTTGTGGGACATTTGATGGAGATTTTACCATCAAATGTACTGTTTGAAGGACAACCGACTGTGGCTGAAAGAAGAAGAACAAGTTTGTCCCAGACTTCTGTGCCAGAAACAAGCCTGTGTTGCTGGAAATGAGCCTAGGGAGACCACTGAGCATTTCATCAGGGACTGCCCTCCAACCAAAGAGACCTGGGAAAAGGTGGTCATTGTCTTTGACTGGCCGAACTTGGAATGGAGTTGGAAACCAATATTTGGGGGCCATGTCAACACCAAGGAAGGAAGAGGAAGAGGGGAAAGCAGGGGGACACCCAGAAGGTCTTTTGGGATGTTGCTTGGTCAACAACAAGGTTGATCAACTTTTATGTTCTCTTGGCCCTGTTTTTTTGGAGATGTCAAGAAATAACTCAAAATCCAGTAAAAGTTACCTCTAGTGTGAA